GGAGGGCCAGGTGGAGGGCCAGGTGGAGGAGAGCCAGGTGGAAGGCCAGGCTTGGAACAGGTCGGGGAGGTGTGCAAACCTTCCACACCTGAACCAACAATGGAGGTGTGGTGAGAGAGCTCCAGTTGCTCTGTGTGCTGGATCTAGTCCTTGGGCTCGGCTCGTTAAAGCGGCGACAGGTTTTAACGTATTGTGTATTAAAATCATGTTTTTTTTCCCAGATATATAAATTAATGTTATTGTATATTAGAGTTGCATGTATAGCTTGGCGTATACATACAAACATCGGCATCACCAGCTTGGTTATGTCTATGTATAGAGTAGAGTGAACCAATCAGCCAGAAGAGATAGTTCCTTACCCACCTTCATCTGAGCTACGTACAGGAGTATATACCCTGAGAGGTATACTTCGCTTTTCGGTGTATATATATACCGGAAGTTTAACCCACGAGTATATTCAGGATTCAAATATACTTGCTACTTAGTACGGTCTTGTGGCGATCTTAACCACTGCACTGCGCACCTGGTCTCGCCAAAAAGTTTTTAGTGCAATTGTCATGGACATATTTTTGTTGTTTTTATAAATATTCAGGTAAAGTTAATGTCATAATCTTTCCAAACTTAACTACTTCCATTTCGAAACACGAAGAGTAATGAAAACATTAAAAAGCTTTAAAATATAGCTTAACATAAAAAAGCACAACTCTCTTAGTGCCTAAAGGTGCTTTGCGCAGTGCAGATGCTAATGACCCTCCAGAGGTTGATAGACCTCATGACCAACACCTGTGAATTATGTGTCTTTCCCCTGGCCAGGGAGAAGGACTCAGTGTGGTGGACCTGAGACACAGGTGACGGGGCAGGCGGGTGTAGGCCCACCAAGATTAAACAGGCTACTTTACACACGACTTGTCCTCAGGTAGGCACTTGAGGCAGTGTGGTGTGAATGGCGACGACTCTCCCGAGCTCTCAACTGCGCGGTCAAAGGTAAACTGAATTTAATTTAAATGTAAAATTACATTGGTTTGGAAGTTATGCACAAACAGAATGTGTAAATGACTGCAGGAGGACCGCAACATGGAGAGCGAGTGTTCTCGTGGTTTCACTTGTGTGCACGTTGAACACCATCTCCCTTAACTACCCTCCCCCCCCCCCCACACTATGATCGTGAGGAGGCGAGTTACTCATTAAATTTGAACTTAGGAGGGAGTGATTACCAGTACCATCGCTGCTGGTGCCCGAACAGCCTGAAGAGACCATATGGGCTCGAACTGGAGCATCTTGGAGCGTGAGAGGCCCCGGGCACCCCCTGTCACCACCACTCCCCTCAACAACACAGGAAAAGCTAGACAACAAGTGACTACTCCCCGGCGGCTCCTCACTGACCACCACAACACCCAGAGTCCTGCGGTTTGGCAAACTTTCCTATCTGGGCCTCACGCTCCAAACAAAAATGAGCAGCGGCTCCACTTCGACCTCAGTTTATTGATAATAAACGCATTTAAAAACAGAAAAGAGCTCTTGTTAGTGTTTGGGTCATAACATAAAACATAACTGCTTTATTATAGCATCACCGGGGGCAGCCAGGAAGTATTAAACAAAACAGCAACGTTTCTACCCGAAACGCTGCGCGTACTAGTGGCTTTACAAGACTGTAATTACCATATTATGTATCCTCACATTCCCAATGTACATTCTTGTATATGCATAAATAAATAAATAAATAAATAAATAAATAAATAAATAAATAAATAAATAAATAAATAAATAAATAAATAAATAAATAAAAACATGATTCATTCCCAAAACAGACTTACAGACGAGCCTCTAATTACATATGTAACCTTAAGTAAATATACAAACTGGGAGAGAGGTGTTGGGGTTGGTACTGTAGAGTAACCTCACATATGTATCACCTCTAGCGTGACACAAACTCTCATCCTTTCATCAACACAAAGAAGTCGCCCTTTTCCCTGCTCTCTCATAATAATAATTAATAAATATGTATTTTACCGAATGTTCAAATGTTTCTTTGTCGATGAATGTTGTGGCCACACTTGTCAACACTCTCCGTCCACACCAGTGTGGCGCGCCACACTCTACGGCAACCACAGTCCCTGGAGAGTCACCTGGAGTGGACTCACATCTTAGGTGTAAAGTCCACCTTGAGTGTATATGGGTGGGCGGAGGAATCCTCGTCTCAAAACCCCCGTTGACGTGGGTCACGTCCTCAGCTGAAGACGCTGGGAAAAGTTGTCTCAGCTGTAAATGTTCTCACGAACATCTTAACTCTTCTCCACTCAGCTGTTGACTAACTTTCCTCGGGAACTAGCCACGAGGAAATTAATCTCTCAATTAAATTTTCCAGGTAAAGAAGGAAACTGTTTATTCATATAAACTAGAACATTTAATGGAGGAAAAGCAAAACCATTATATATAATAATGTTATGGGATAACCTGAGATAATAATTATTTATGTCTGGTTACCCCATAACAGTCTAATATACCTTCCCCTTACCTTGTCCACACACACGACTTATATCACAAACACAACACTGGTTATCTCATATGTGACTATCCCTTCTCCACTTGGAATAAAGCTTTACATAAAAATATATATACCTCTAATGTGTATATATGTAAGTAAATTTAACACACACAGCCTCCACTGCCTGGGCCAAGAATTACACATTAACTACTCTAAAAATGTTCAGAGCTTCAAACTGTGGGCGCTTCCCTAAATCACCTTACCAGCAATATAAACTATAATTAACAGTGTTAATTAAGTCTCCTGACAAACATTGGCCAATAAAGTTCCATAAAGGGAGAACTTTCATAAAGTGTTGAGATTAAATAAAAAACACATTCAATATTAAAATCACAAAGGTACTCTTTTACAAGTTGTGTATTGTATCTAAAACGTTAGACAAAATCCCTCATAATCCTCTTCCCTTGTATCATTGTGTCATACTCTCTCGCATACAGGCTATATGCCAGGGGATATATGCCAGGGGATATATGCCAGGGAATATATACCAGGGAGATATTTGCCAGGGAGATATATGCCAGGGAATATATGTCAGGGGATATATGCCAGGGGATATATGTCAAGGGATATATGCCAGGGGATATATACCAGGAGATATATACCAGGGGATATATGCCAGGGAGATATATGGCAGGGGATATATGCCAGGGGATATATGCCAGGGGATATATGCCAGGGAATCATCAACCCACGCATCAACCCAGACATCAACCCAGACATCAACCCACGCATCAAGACTGATTACGGGCTATTCACGCCCGTGCCACGTCTTGGGTGGCTTAATCTTCATCAATCAGTCATTCAACTGACGTCACTCTCACCTGAGATGTCACAGAAGACACAACTCACCTCTGTGTACAAATGTTTCATTTGATAATCTCTACACACGTCAACCAGTGATGATGTCACTTCATGTCATTATCTACTTTTCCTCAAGGGTATAAAACTAGATAATATATATAAAAAGATATTATGTGAAATGCGTGATGTTTGGTGTGGCTGGCATTCAGGGGGATGAGGGAACCTTCCCTGCCCCTGGGTGATGAATGCACACAAGATCCCTGCTGTCTTCCCTGACAGCCATCCTGACGTGACGTTTGGGCACTAATTGCAGGTGTCCTTCCTAGGCACATCGTGCAACTGCGCCCTTCTTCAGGAAAGAAGGCCTTCTGTGGGTCTCAAAAGTTCCTCCCCAGTTCTTACGGCAGTCTTGCCCCAAAGCTTAAACTGGTAGCGTTGCCTTGGGGGTATTCGAAGGTGGAATATCCGTTCTTATTCTCCTACTGATTTCTCTCTTCTCATGGAACGGTTCACCTGCCGTCTTGTCTTCCGCTGTCGACAAAATTCAAGAAGGGGCGCCGGTGGACACGGAGGCACGTCCGCCTTCCCTGCTGTCCAGCTCTCAAGTAAAGTTTTGGCCAAACACAGGCCACTACCCTCGGCCACGTCCCAGCTTCTCATTGGTTATCGATGACATCATCTATGCACTTCCTATGTCAGCTCTCTCGTCCTCGCCTTCGCGAACCTTCTCGAAAATCCAAGCCAGAGCAGCTTAGATTTCAATTATTTACTCACCCGCTCTTTATTTCTCTCCCATTCTCACTCACTTTCTGTTTCAGTATCACACTTTTCTATCTCACTCTGTATCTCGTTCTCTCTCTCTCTCTCTCTCTCTCTCTCTCTCTCTCTCTCTCTCTCTCTCTCTCTCTCTCTCTCTCTCTCTCTCTCTCTCTCTCTCTCTCTCTCTCTCTCTCTCTCCCTCTCTCCCTCTCTCCCTCTCTCTCTCTCTCTCTCTCTCTCTCTCTCTCTCTCTCTCTCTCTCTCTCTCTCTCTCTCTCTCTCTCTCTCTCTCTCTCTCTCTCTCTCTCTCTCTCTCTCTCCCTCTCTCCCTCTCTCCCTCTCTCTCTTCCCCCCTCGTGTTTAGGCGTTCGTATGTCACAAGCTCGACATAATAACTCACTAAGGACCACCATTCAGGCACTCAGCGGGGTCTTGGTAACCTCTAGAAAATATTAAGTCAAAATCTTGAGTGGGGAGCGTCGTGTCCCCGGCTCAAGCGTCACTCCCTCGCCCTCTTGCATCACGCGAGACATTTTTTTCCTTTGCAGAAACTTACCTCTGGGACACTTAATGGTATTTTTCCGCCCTTGAAGGTTTTAATTCTCGTCTCTGAATCTGTTCAATTACCTCCAGTTTGATGCTGAGTCAATGAGTCAGTGAACTCTTTCAGAATCATGGGGAGCGGGTTTAGTAAGAAGATTTAATTTTTTGATTATCTGAAGGTCGATGTGTTACCTGTGTGATTTGTCACAGCTTCACTTGTGTGTTTCACAAGTTTCTCAAGACTTTCTGGTAGTGAACATTCCACAGTTGGGCTTATATGTGGTGTTTACAGAACTCCAAGTGAGTCCTTGTTCAAGATCATGTCGTCAGTCTTGATGTTAGTCGACTTGAATTACAATGGTGTTTCCCGGGTTCTGATCGTCTGAGGAGACAGGTTCCGCGAATGAGGAGACAGGTTCCGCGAATGAGGAGACAGGTTCCGCGTCTGAGGAGACAGGTTCCGCGAATGAGGAGACAGGTTCCGCGTCTGAGGAGACAGGTTCCGCGTCTGAGGAGACAGGTTCCGCGTCTGAGGAGACAGGTTCCGCGTCTGAGGAGACGGGTTCCGCGTCTGAGGAGACAGGTTCCGCGTCTGAGGAGACAGGTTCCACGTCTGAGGAGACGGGTTCCGCGTCTGAGGAGACAGGTTCCGCGTCTGAGCAGACAGGTTCCGCGTCTGAGGAGACAGGTTCCACGTCTGAGAAGACGGGTTCCGCGTCTGAGGAGACAGGTTCCGCGTCTGAGGAGACAGGTTCCACGTCTGAGAAGACGGGTTCTGCGTCTGAGGAGACAGGTTCCGCGTCTGAGGAGACAGGTTCCGCGTCTGAGGAGACGGGTTCCGCGTCTGAGGACACAGGTTCCGCGTCTGAGGAGACAGGTTCCACGTCTGAGAAGACGGGTTCCGCGTCTGAGGAGACGGTTAAAAACTGCAGGGGGGTTTGGGCAAAATATGACCCATCGCCGTTTTCAGTAATTGGCATATTTTCGTTATAAAAAGTCGTAATTTGAAACTGAAAATAGGTGCAGAGAGTCAGAATTCGGATAAAAAATCACGCTCAGGAGTCAAATTTCCGATATTTCAGACATTTTGAAAACTGCAGGGGGGTTTGGGCAAAATATGACCCATCGCCGTTTACAGTAATTGACATATTTTCGGTATGAAACGTCGTAATTTGAAACTGAAAATTGGTGCAGAGAGTCAGAATTCGGCTCAAAAATCACGCTCAGGAGTCAAATTTCCGACATTTCAGACATTTTAAAAACTGCAGGGGGGTTTGGGCAAAATATGACCCATCGCCGTTTTCAGTAATTGGCATATTTTCGGTATAAAAAGTCGTAATTTGAAACTGAAAATAGGTGCAGAGAGTCAGAATTCGGATAAAATTGGGCGATTTTAGCCGCTAGCAGCCTAAATCGGGCGATTTTCGCCGCTAGCAGCCCAAAAATCGGGCAATTTTAGCCGCAAGCAACCTAAATCGGGCGATTTTAGCCGCTAGCGGCCAAAAATCGGGCGATTTTAGCCGCTAGCAGCTAAAAATTTGGCGATTTTCTCCGCTAGCGGCAAGAAAACGGGCGATTTTCGCCGCTAGCGGCCAAAATTCGTGCAATTTTCGACGCAAGCGGCCAAAAATCGGGCGATTTTACCCGCTAGCGGGCGAAAAATCGGTCGACTTTTGCCGCCTGCAGCCTAAAATCGGGCGACATTTGACGCTAGTGGCCACAAATCAGGCGATTTTCACCGCTAGCATCCTAAAATCGGGCGATTTTAGCCGCTAGCGGCCAAAAATCGGGCGTTTTTAGCCGCTAGCAGCCTAAAATCGGGCGATTTTAGCCGCTAGAAGCCTAAAATCGGGCGACATTCGTCGCTAGCGGCCAAAAATCGGGCAATTTTCGCCGCTAGCGGCCATAAAAACCGGGCGATTTAGCCGCTAGTAGCCTAAAATCGGGCGATTTTCGCCACTAGCGGCCAAAAATCGGGCGACTTTAGCCGCTAGCGGCCAAAAACTGTCCATTTTAGCCTCTAGCGGCCAAAAATCGGGCGATTTTAGCCGCTAGCGGCCAAAAATCGGGCGATTTTCGGCGCTAGCGGCCAAAAATCATGCGTTTTTAGCCTCTAGCGGCCAAAAATCGGGCGATTTTAGCAGCTAGCGGCCAAAAATCGGGCGATTTTCGCCGCTAGCAACCAAAAATCGCGCGATTTTCGTCACTAGTGGCCAAAAATCAGGGGATATTCGCCGCTAGCAGCCTAAAATCGGGTGATTTTAGCCGCTTGTGGCCAAAAATCGGGCGATTATCGCCGCTAGCAGCCACAAATCGGGCGATTTTAGCCGCTAGCAACCTAAATCGGGCGATTTTTGCAGCTAGCGGCCAAAAATCGGGCGATTTTTGCCGCTAGTTGTAAAAAAATCGGGTGACTTTCGCCGCTAGCGGCCAAAAATCAGGCGATATTCGCCGCTAGCAGCCTAAAATCGGGCGATTTTAGCCGCTAGCGGCCAAAAATCGGGTGACTTTCGTCGCTAGCAACCAAAAATCGGGCGATTTTCGCCGCTAGCGGCCAAAAATCGGGCAATTTTAGCCTCTAGCGGCCAAAAATCGGGCGATTTTACCCGCTAGCGGGCGAAAAATCGGGCAACTTTTGCCGCTAACACCCTAAAATCGGGCGATTTTCGCCGCTAGCGGCCAAAAATCGGGCGTTTTTACCCGCTAGTTGGCAAAAATCGGGCGATTTTCGCCGCTAGCATCCTAAAATCGGTCGATTTTCGCCGATTGCAGCCAAAATACGGGCGATTTTCGCCGCTAGCGGCCAAAAATCGGGCAATTTTCGGCGCAAGCGGCCAAAAATCGGGCGATTTTAGCTGCTAGCGGCCCAAAAATCGGGCGACTTTTGCCGCTAGCAGCCTAAAATCGGGCGATTTTCGCCGGTTGCAGCAAAAAATCGGGCGTTTTTAGCCGCTAACGGCCAAAAATCGGGCGATGTTCGCCGCTAGCGGCGAAAAATCGGGCGATTTTAGCTGCTAGCGGTAAAAAATCGGGCGACTTTTGCCGCTAGCGGCCAAAAATCGGGCGATTTTAGCCGCTAGCGACCAAAAATCGGGCGATTTTCGCCGCTAGCTGCCAAAGTTTAAGAAAAATTACAGGGGGGTAGGGGGGTGGTAGGGGTGGGGGGGGTCAGCGGGGTCAGGGAGGGTAGGGGGGTAATGAGGGGAGGAGAGGGTAGTGGTGGGGGGGGTCGGGGTTTCGGGGTAGGGGGGAAGGGGGAGGGGGGTAGGGGGGGTGGGGGTAGGGGGGTAGGGGGGGTTGGGGGTGGTAGGGGGATGGGAAGGGGGGATCCTACAAAAAAATCATAAAAATCCTACTAAAAATTAAAGGAATTTTTTAATTGAAGAAAAATTACAGGGGTGGTAGGGGGTGGGGGTTAGAAAAACCCTTTAATTTTTAGTAGGATTTTATGATTTTTTGTAAGATAACCCCCTCCCCCCCCTACCCATCCCCCCTACCCCCCCTCCCCCTTCCCAAAAAAATGGGCTACTTTTGCTACTATTAGCCCATTTCGTTCAGAATGAAGACTAGGTTGAGTCTCGCTGGTTCATCGTTTCCTCTCATCCTAGTAGGTTCCCTGACATGTTGGCTTAAAAACTTTCTGGTCGCCACCTCCATTAGTTTGGCTCTCCATGTATCCTCTCCTCCATGCGATTCCTTGTTCTCCCATTCTATCCTTCCGTGATTGAAGTCCCCCATGATGAGCAGATTGGATCTATTTCTACAGGCAGCAGAGGCTGCCCTCTCAATTATAGTGTTAGCTGACATGTTGTTGTCATACTCTTGCCTGGGTCTTCTGGCATTTAGTGGAGGGTTATCTGGTTGATACCTGGTTGATACCTGGTTGATGGGGTTCTGGGAGTTCTTCTACTCCCCAAGCCCGGCCCGAGGCCAGGCTTGACTTGTGAAAGTTTGGTCCACCAGGCTGTTGCTTGGAGCGGCCCGCAGGCCCACATACCCACCACAGCCCGGTTGGTCCGGCACTCCTTGGAGGAATAAATCTAGTTTCCTCTTGAAAATGTCCACGGTTGTTCCGGCAATATTTCTTATGCTTGCTGGGAGGACGTTGAACAACCGCGTTTGTATATATAACAACATATACGATATATACCAACAGTTATATATCACTGTTACTACTACTTTTGGTCCTCCCATTGTCATGGTGCCTGTTATGTAGTCTCTGAAGCCCTCACAACCCGGGATGACCGTCTCCTTGAAACTCCATTCCTTTCTCATTAGTGTGGCCACTCATGTGGCCCTACTAATGACATGACATTTGTAGTGTGCATGGTGTGTGTGTGTATTAGTGGAGCATGTGTGCATGTGTGTTTGTGTGTGGGGGGGGCATGTTTGAGTGTGGGGGTGGGGCATGTGTGTGTGGGGGGGGGCCAGTGTGTGTGTGTGTGTGTGTGTGTGTGTGTGTGTGTGTGTGTGTGTGTGTGTGTGTGTGTGTGTGTGTGTGTGTGTGTGTGTGTGTGTGTGTGTGTGTGTGTGTGTGTGTGTGTGTGTGTGTGTGTGTGTGTGTGTGTGTGTGTGTGTGTGTGTGTGTGTGTGTGTGTGTGTGTGTGTGTGTCTGTGTGTGTACTCACCTAATTGTACTCACCTAATTGTGCTTGCGGGGGTTGAGCTCTGGCTCTTTGGTCCCGCCTCTCAACCGTCAATCAAACTGGTGTACAGATTCCTGAGCCTATTGGGCTCTATCATATCTACATTTGAAACTGTGTATGGAGTCAGCCTCCACCACATCACTTCCTAATGCATTCCATTTACTAACTACTCTGACACTGAAAAAGTTCTTTCTAACGTCTCTGTGGCTCATTTGGGTACTCAGCTTCCACCTATGTCCCTTGTTCGCGTCCCACCAGTGTTTGAATAGTTCATCCTTGTT